ATTTATTGATTGCCATAGGTTTACAAATTTGTTATCGTTTTGAAAGAGATCAGAGCAAATGCATATGCCATATTTCTCAACCTTTCTAAATCTATGCTATACACACATGTTTCTCTTTACATCTTACATAGCAATCTTTCTTTATCCTCTCTTCCAATTAATACATACATACGTTATAGATTATTTTATTTCTATTTTATTTTTATTTTTATTTCTATTACTGCCTTCACAATTAGTCTTTCTAAATTTCATATTATATGAAATTTGATGTTTCCAATTAGCATTTCTATGGTTTCATGGTTAGGACGGAGTACCCACATCTTCTAATCATCAACAATATAATTTTGGTGGCATATATACAATCATGAAATATAATATGGGGAAGCAAAATTATGTAAAAAGGAAATTAAATATGAGAGTATGGAGAGGGATAAAAAGGGGAGGGGGTGGAGGGGGGCATGATATTATGCAAAAGTATGATAGGATGGAGAGTGAGCTAAAAAGTAGCATTAATGCTTCGATGTTTTATTTAAATATATATGTATCTAATTTATACAATATTGATTATAATGTGACATCAAGTGCGTTAAAATTTATCAATTAATCTTTTCATCATTAAATTCTACAATATAGCTTTTAGATGATTTTTTTTTTTAATATCTCAAGTTTTCACCTACACTAGATTATTCAATTCATGCTTTTCTATTCAATTATTTTCTGTTTATTTCTCTAACAACTGGTCGATTGAATATGGATGAAAAATAAAATATGAACTCTAATGATTGATTATTAGTTAAATATAGATTTCATTATAATAGGCAAAAAAAATTATTTAATTAACTTGTTTATGATTTTGTAATAGACCACAAAACTATGTAATTAATACTCCGTATTCAATATGAATGGAAGAAACTCAACATAAAAGAAATAAAGAAAAAAATGGTTAGGGTTTACCAATTTGTTATGATTTTGAAATAGTGCACATGCAATATCTTTCAATCTTTCTAAATGTATGCTATACACAACACATGTTCACTTTACATTCTTTTTTTCCTGTCTTCCAATTAATACATACACTCAAACATAAGTAATGGGTTATTTTATTTCTAGTTTTATTTTTATTTTTTTAGTAATGCCTTCAAGAAATTTCAAATAAAAAATATTATTATTAAACTCTTAACTCTAATATTTCAATTATATTGCTCTTCATCATGATAGGGATATTTATCCTCCATAATGGACATATCAAAGTAATTATTTACATTTTTTTTTCAACCATTCGAAATATCATCTTTAAAAATATCTTCCCGTCATAGAGTTCTATTCCTTTCAAACCCGAATAAACATTCAATATTGACTGACAAGAGTATGCTTATAACTCATATTTATAATCGTTTGATTAATTCTCTTTTTTGTTTTTCACTTTTGTGTTTGTGAGCGTTATATATATAATGCATGGGCTATCTGCTAGGATTCAACTTTTAGCTAAGCTTTCACTCGGTGGTACACCTGTATACCATACCTAGTTTTGACTTCAATTTCATTTTGCCGTTTTATACCATACCTATGACCTATATACCATACCTAGGTTGCTAATATAATGCAATATTCCACATTTAATTATAGATGTTTAGCAACTCCTCTGCATCATCACTTAAAGTGATCCAGAGACTGAGTTACAACACATACATAAATGCATAGACTGAGTGACATAAATGCATCACCTCCATCTCTTCATATTAACTATACCTACGTAGGGATTTTATGGGTGCATGTTGCTCCATGATATAAATATTGCATAGTTTTAGTCCTCTTTTCACTTACCTAGAGGTGGGTGTAATTATTGGAATTATTTGAACCAACACCTAAAATTTGAATTTTGAATATTGGGTGTTAAAATTTTATACATGCCGGAACTGAAATTCGAACTAACCCAAATTTTATTATAAATAAATAAATAAATATATATATATATATATATATATATATATATATATATATATATATATATATATAGACTATATTTCATAGTTAAAATTGTATTCATTTTTAAAACTCTATTAGTTACGTCGTAATAATTATGGAGTATATTTTGTTTATTTTTAGATTCATACATACTGGGAAAAAAATAAAAACACCAATAATAAAATTATTTAAAAAAACAAAAAAAATTGATAAAAATAAAATTTTAGGTATACCTAACTATAATCGGAAATAATTTCAAATTAAATTTAGATGGGATATTGGATACTCTCAAAAATTTCAAATATCAAAAATAAATTCTTTAGTTAATAAAATTCCAACCTGTGTCAACCCCTGCACCTATCCCTCCATTACCCCTCCATTAATTGTTTGAAAGGGTGAGAGAAGTGTTTTTCATTAAGTTACAATGCAAGTACTGCTTTTAAGAATAACTTGATTAACTTTTTTTTTTCTCTTTCTAATAGCTGGTCGATTGAATATGGATGGAAAAATAACATTTCAAAATATGAACTATAATGATTGATTCATCAGTTAAATATAGATTTTATTGTAATAAATCAAAAAAAAAAAGTTATTTAACTTAATTGTTTAGTATTTTATAATAGACCACAAAACAAAGTTTTTAATATTGAATATGGATGAAAAACACTCAACATAAAAGAAAGAGAGAAATGACTAAGATTAATTGTTGAAAGTTACTAAAGGAATTAGTTTTACATCATATGAGTTATTTGGTTTATTTATTATAGATTTGATCTTTTCTTTTCTCAAATTAAACTTTAATGGGAAGCAAAGAGAATGCGTGTCTGAACTCTGATGTGTGTTAGACTGATATGAGAAGCAAAGTGAATGGGAATGATAGCTTCCCGTTCCAGATAATTTATAAGAGCATTAATGTGATCTCAACTCCCCTCATCTCATCTCAGCTCTGTCAATTTTTTCCTACCTATTAATTAAGACTTGTATATCATATATATATATATATATATATATATATATATATATATATATATATATATATATTAATCCAAATTTTTATCCTAATACAAACTCAAAGTCGTATCTATTTATTTTGGAATTGCACGGAGTGCCAGAGGTGTTAGTACTGATTAACACCTTAAGACTTTCTTTAAAATAAAATGATAATACTTCCAATTATATTGATGCTACAAAATTTATTATAAAGGAAGATCACATAACATTTGTCCAAATTAAATGATTGATAGAGACCATGCCTTGAGAATTGGATTGAAACTTATAATTCATTGATTGCTATAGGTTTACCAAATTGTTAGGGTTTACCAAATTGTTAGGGTTTACACCTTATAGAGAGATCTTTCTTTTTAACTCTCTTCCAATTAATACATACATACGTTATGGATTATTTTATTTCTTTTATTTTTATTTTTATTTCTATTAATGCCTTCACAGTTAATCTTTCTAAATTTCATATGATATGAAATTTGATGTTTCCAATTAGCATTTCTGTGGTTTCATGGTTAGGACGAAGTACCCCAGGCCACATCTTCTAATCTTAAACAATATAATTTTGGTGGCATATATAAAATCATGAAATATAATATGGGCAAGCATAATTATGTAAAAAGGAAATTAAATATGAGAGTATGGAGAGGGATAAAAATGGGGAGGGGGTGGGGTGGGGAGTGGGAGGGAGGGGGGGGGGGCATGACATAATGCGAAAGTATGATGGGATGAAGAATGAGATAAAAAGTAGCATTAATGCTTCAATGCTTTATTTAGATATATATGCAATTTATACAAAATTGATCACTATAATGTGACATCAAGTGCGTTAAAATTTATCAATTAATCTTTTCATCATCAAATTCTACAATACAGCTTTTAGATGATTTTTTTTTTAATATCTCAAGTTTTCACCTACACTAGATTATATCTTGAATCTCATGATAATTATTTACAAGCTTATTCATGCTTCTCTATTCAATTATTTTCCGTTTATTTTTCTAACAACTGGTCGATTGAATATGGATGAAAAAATAAAAAATAAACTCTAATGGTTAATTATTAGTTAAATATAGATTTTCATTATAATAGCCAAAAAAATTATTTAACATGTCTAAAATTTTGTAATAGACCACAAAACTATGTAATTAATATTCAATTTGAATGGAAGAAACTCAACATAAAAGAAAGAAAGAAAAAAAATGGTTAGGGTTTACCAATTTGTTATGATTTTGAAATAGAGCACATGCAATATCTTTCAATATTTCTAAATCTATGCTACACACAAAACATGTTTCCTTTTACATTCTTTTTTCCTTGTCTTCAAATTAATACATACACTCAAACATACTTTATGATTTATTTTATTTCTAGTATTATTTTTATTTTCTAGTAATGCCTTCACTATTAATGCCTTTCGAAATTTCAAATAAAAAATATTATTATTAAACTCTTAACCCTAATGTTTCAATTATATTGCTCTTCATCATGATATGGATATTCATCATCCATAGTGGCCGGATATATCAAAGTAATTATCTACATCTTTTTTCAACCATCACTGCTGGAAAAATGGCATTTTCCGTCCACTTTTCCGACCATCTAGAAAAGTGGACGGTAAATTAAGTTTTTTTCTAAATTATTGACCACCCTATTGGATGGTCGGAATGTGGACAGTATTTCCGACCACTCTCAAATGGTTGTCGGAAATGTTATGACCTTTATTTTTTTAATTTGTGGGCTTTGACGAGTTTCCGACCACACTTGGTGGTCGGATGTCCTGCTCAGCATTTTTTTATATGCTCCGGACTGTAAATAGCATTCACAAAATAAAAGATTATTTTTTAAATGTTTTATTTGATTTTCCCCATACTTAAATATTATAAATAATTATGTTAATTATACCTACATGAATATTGAAAATTTTATTTAGTATGATTTTATTATTAACACAGAATATAGAACTATTCAAATTTTAAAATATTATAAAATTAATATTTATTATTAATGGCTATATAAGAAGACATTCTGAGAATCGCTATCCTCAAGCCACTAAATCCCCTTGCCGGAGTTGCCGCTAAATTCCCTACCCGATAAATCCTCTTCGCACCTCAAGCTAAAGTTACGAAATCTCTATCCTCAAGCCAAAGTTACGGATCGGAGTCATCGCCATCCTCAAGTGAGTCGCACCTCAAGCTAAAGCTATGGAGTCGCCATCCTCAACTGAGCCGCACCTCAACCGAATCATCAACGGAGTCATTTCAAGCTAAAGCTACGGAGTCGCACATTCATCTGCATCCTCAACCAAAAGGTAATTGCATTTCAATTCTATATATTAAGTCTACTAAATTTAGTCTCTGTTTAGGGTTTAAGGCTTAGAAATCTTATTTCAACTGCATTTTCCTTCTTTTTTTTTTTTCCTGCGTTTTTGCTTTGACATTTCTGAGTAGATATAGATGGATTTGTAGGTTTAGATATTAAGAAATATATAATACTCCCTCTGATTTCTGCTGCATTTTGTTGTTTTTCTATTTTTTTTGATACAGAGTCTAGATTCATAATTTTCATAGCCTAAGGAAGAAGAGAAATCAAAATTTCATATACTTTAAGCTTTTTCACAGTTACTGTTGCTATACTCTTGAGGATGTCAATCTTACTAGAACTGTTTTTTCAAGTCCATGAGAATAGACTGTATAAGATGATTCTAAGGACGATGATTCTCCGAATGAAATATTCTGATGATCCTAGATGGCTGCTCAATTTTATTTTATTTTTTATTTTTTTGTAATTTTTGAGAAGAGAACTCCCTTCAGTTTTGCCTTCTTCTAATGAGATTATGCATAACATTTTCCCCTTTGTTCTAGGTGTACTTTGAACTCCAGCACCACGCCCCTCATTTGAAGAGAATCATTTAGTGCTCATCCGGTGCTAACTTTCCCTCGAGACGATGCTATGCACCTTTACAAAGCTCACTGAATTATTTGGTTTGTAAAAATTGTAGTAATTTTTAACAATTCAGAAAATTTACTGAATTATTTGGTTTTACAGAGGTAAAATAGCTCACTTCTCGACTTCGCAGGATCAAATTTCTGTTGTCCAGCAACACAAACCGAAGACAGGGAAAGATGAAGAACAGAAGCAGCTAATTAAAGAATGTTGTACAGGAGCCAGAAGAAACTGAGTAACTCCAAGTTATTTTTTGAGATGAATCTATTACTCCATATTTTTTTGAGATGAACAAGTTAGCAGATTTTTATGATGTGCTTTAGTTTTAGCAGCATTTACGAGTCTTAATGATGTGCTTTAGTTTTGTTTCTTTGACATGACTCTTATGGTAGTTCTTATTGCATTCTAGGTGAATCCCCGCCCTCTTCTGCCTTAGTGCCTCTGATGTTGATAATTTAAACAATCCATTGGCTGTAGACAACAATCCTCAGCTAAAAGTGAGTGTTCAGTCTTTCTGAGATCGCCTGCTTCACATTTTGATATTATTTTACAGCAAGTAGCTTACAAAGAGAATCTGAGATTGTCTGCTTCACATTTTGGAAAATGAAATAGAGGGCTAAATGAGAATCTGAGATCATCTGCATCAGTCCCTACTCAGAGCAGAAGCCACTGTTATCATTTGTGCTTGGTTTTATAACCTGGTGACTGGTGTCTGGTTCACTTAGTTAATATTTTGCTATGGTGGTTTAGCTGAGAGGATTTCCTTTTGTAGATGTTTCATTGGCACAACTGAATTGCTAAGGAAATGAAAACTCAATTTTGTTTTCCCTTGGGTGCCAGAAATTATCAAATTACATGAAGCAATCTGCAGAGCTCTTAGAAAGAAGAAGAACCAGTGATGCAGAGTGTGCCTTGATTGTTTTAGCTGATGCTTTGATGATAAGGTAAATGATTAACTTGCTTTTCTAAATCTCATTCCAATTACATGAATTTACTACTCTTCACTTTTCTTGTTGCTTCAGAGCATAAGAGCATTTACCCAACACTCTAAGACAAGCTTTAATATATAAGGTACTTCATCTTCTATTGCTCCACTTGCTACTTAATAGTTCATCTTCTATTGCTCCACTTGCTACTTAATAGTTCCTCCCATTTATTGTTACATTGAGTCTAGGGCTTCTCAGTTTTTGGTCCCTTGGTTTTTATTGTTGTGTTGACAAAGTGGCTGTAACTTCAATGTCACCTGGTGCAGGCCCTTGGTTTTCCAATGCCTTCCTTTGCACATGTTTCTTTAATTCTTGCTCCAGATAGAAGCAAACTTTCTAAAAGACATGGTGCAACTTCAGTAGGTCAGGTAATTGGTTTACACATCATTTAGTGTTTTTTCCCTATTTAAGATTATGATCTCCAAAAGTTGATGCCCTTAAGGAGAGCCTTGAGAATGATGAGGAGAAGGTAAGTCTCTCATTTTTCACGTATATTAAGAACAAATCTCACACACCTTAAGCACAAAAGCCAACACTTTAAGTTTTAACAACTACTGAAATTAATCACTAACCCCTCGCACCTTAAGCACAAACCCCACGCACATTAAGCACAAACTTCACGCATATTAAGAACAAATCTCACGCACCTTAAGCACAAAAGCCCACACTTTAAATTTTAACAACTACTCACATTAAGTACAAACTCACACACCTTAACACAAAACTCACGTACCTTACGCACAAGACTCAAGCACTTTATATACAAAACTCACGCACATTAATCACAAAACTACTCACCTTAATTTTGACCTAGATGCAAAAATTACAAAATTACCACCGCGTTTTTTTTTTTTTTTTTTTTTTTTTAAATTTTGGTAATCTTGAATGTTGATTTAAGCGAGATGAATGACTCAGATTAAACCGCACAACCGCACCTGAGGCGTTCACCCGCACTAGAACCGATTTCTATATATACATACATATATATTTCTATATATACATACATATATACAGGGACGGAGCCAGAAAATTATTCGAGTGGGGGCGAAGTTTAAATGACGTTAGAAATGTCAATTACAAAATATCAAAAAGTCATAATAAGGTTAAAATGTAAAATATATTATAAATTATAATAGAATGTTTTTGATAGATTACACGATAGTTAGAGTCGGAGCCAAAAATATCAATTAGATAAAATAATTTGAATAACATTTTATTCATAAATACTTTTTAATTTTAATTTGTTTAGTTAGATCAACTTTAAGTTTCTCTAAATTAATTTAAATACAATGAAGTATACTATAAACTTGTACATTACATTAATTAAATGATTCATAAAAAGTAGACTAAAAGAACATTTAATTTGTTAATTAAATGGTTCATAAAAGTAGACTAAAAAAATATAAACTTGGCTAAAAATTATAAACTAGTGAAAATAAGAAAATTTGTTATTAATGAGATTTGAACTTATAACCATGACCATACACTTTTATTAAAGTCAATTTAAAGTTCAACCAACTAAGCTACTCAAACCATTGGCAATTTAGACATAAATATAGATTTTATCTAATATTTAATGCTATATATATATATATATATATATATATATATATATATATATATATATATATATATATATATATATATATATATATATGCAGAGACGGAGCTAGTATGAGGGCAGTGGGGGCAGCTGCCCCCGCTCCCCCACCCCACCCTTATATATATATATATATATATATATATATATATATATATATATAATTCAAAAGATCTTAATAAATGTTTTTAATTATATATTTTTATACATTAATTTTATTTTCGCAAAAAAAAAAGTAAATTTTATATTTAAAAAAAAGTTTAAGGAGAAAAAAAAAAAAAAAAAGGATTTGATGGGTGCATGTTGCTCCATGATATAAATAGTGCTTAGTTTCAGTCCTCTCTTCAAGTAATTAGAATTATTTGAACCAACACCTAAAATTTGAATTGAATTTTGAATTTGTAGCTTGGTTCTGAGCTTGTAGCTTGTAGCTTGGTTGGAATTTAGGCCGAATGGCCTTGAGTATGTAAGGGCCAAAATAGCTTTGATTCATTTTGTAGAGTTTTGCGCTCTTTGTATGGCCGAATGGCCTCATGTCTTGTGGTAGATTTAGTCATTTGGACCATATAGCTTTTGTAGGGCTTTACGCCCCTTGTTGTTTGTAAAACTTGGTCACCTTTGGACCAAGCTAGTAAAACTCTATTAGTTCCTCCGTAATTTTTACAGAGTAGTATTTTATTTATTTTAGTTTCATAGCATACTGGGAAAAAAAATTAAAAACACCAATAATAAAATTATTAAAAAAATTTGATAAAAATAAAATTTTAGGTATACCTAACTAACCCGAAATAATTTCACTCGAACCAAATATATCCAAACTAAATTTGAATGGGATATTGGGTACTGTGAAAAAGATCACTCAAAATTTCCAATATCAAAAATAAAATTCAAATATTACCTAAATCCAACCTGTGTCAACCCCTGCATCTATCCCTCCATTAATTGTTTGAATGGGTGAGAGAGGTGTTTTTCAAATATTACAAGGCAAGTATTGCTTTTTAAGAATTTATGGCAAAACAAATTATTGATTTAGTCCCTTTTTCACTTTTTTTTTTTTTTAATACTACTAACTCTGTTACAATATAATACTCCATTTGTCCCATTTTATTTGTCCTACTTATTATTCACTAGTCAAACCAACTGTTTTTTCTTTGTTTATTTTCTTTAGTATTTTTTACTTATTTTTAAATTTGAATTTTTGTGTTTAATAGTAATTTTAATGTAGTTTCTAAATATATAAATTTTGAATACTAATACCAAACTTAATATTATTAAAAATTGAATTAAAAATAACTTCAGTCAAGCCTCGTTAACCTAACGAGACACATAAAATAGGACGGAGGAAGTATCTATTTAGTCCATATGGGAAGCAACTTGGTGCCACTAGATCACAAGTTCATTAACCCTCCATTTTAAAATTTATTTTGGCAGTACCAATATAAGGATTTTTTTTTGACTCAGCTTTTTGGTCCATACTCTAATTAATAGAAAGAGTTTCTCCTTTTTGTAAAGGTGAAAACAAAGAGTTATTTTTCTTCCAAAACTATAATTTGAATGGTAATAGTTGATGTGAAGTTCAGGTGAAGTAACTTAAAGTGCATTAATTAAATTATCTCAATTATATTACTCTTTCATAGGTCATCATTAACACAATCCTCTTAGCACGTCTATCTAGGTTCAATTCTAAGATCTAAATTTGTATAGTACGGACTACTACTGGTAGCTAAATCAACTTGAGAAGAAAGACAAATCAGTATGCAATAAATGCTTTAGTTGAACCTAACGCCACCACTTTTTACAATTATAGTGAGTTATAATAAACATTTACAAAAATAAAATAAAATAAAAAATTAATGTACAAATACTTATATAAGTAATCAAAATATTAGGAAAAGTGAATTAAAGATATTTCATATAAACTAACAATGGCTAGATATTCAGTGTTGAGACTTGAGAACATAAAATAAAAGTTCATATGTCAATATAGTGGCATCATATTGTATCATAAGGTTAATTACTTGGTATGCCAATTTCGACTTTATATTCTAGGACTCCCTCTCTACTACCTAAGTATAGAGAATCCATATTTCCAAATAATAGGCCAAAAACGGCACCTGTGGCTGCCAAACGTACCATATGATAAGAAAATCTTCTTCAATTGGTTGTATATTAAAATTAAATGATTAATATACATGACTTGTATAAAGTTAAGTAAATGAGTTAATTTTATTTTTTATCTTAGATTTATAGGTAGCAATCCACTTATAATTTTTATTTTTATTTCTAAATATTCTCCTTTAATCCTAGTATTATTGTGACATGACCATTTTTGGTTATCTATTAACAAAACAATTTAAATGCCGTTAAATACAATGACATTTCGGTCTTCAATTATGATTTTTTTTTTAAAAGATAAACATAAAAAATATAATATGTCAATGCACTTTGTATAAAAAAGTTTAAAATGTCCTTGTATTTGTCGACATTTCACGATTGGTCATCATAACAATTCTAGGATCAAAAGGGGATGTTCTGATAAAAATAGAATAAAAGTGGTCTGTTACCCATAAATCTATGACAAAAAATGAAATTAAATCTTAAGAAAATTTATTCTATTAGGGGATGTTATGATAAAAATTAAAATGACTAAAAGTAAACTGTCACCTATAAATTTAGAACAAAAATGAAATTAATTCTTGGAAACAAAAATGAAGTTTGAGATTTTTTATTCACATCTAATATTCCCATTTTTGGAAAAACAAACCAATATTTTTTTTTTAGGTGTAAACCACGAGATGGTCCGGGTCTTTCTCTGTTTGTTTAACCGTCGGGTCCACCCGATTAATTCCCGTTCGCTCTGAGAGATTGGGAGCTGGCCCAGGAGAATCGTCACTTGTGGGAATCGAACCCAGGAAGACTCAAAGAGAGCTCATTTACCATTTGAGCTATCACCCGGGTTAAAAACAAACCAATATTATATTTTTTGAATGCTAAAAAACAAACCAATATGAAAGCAAAAGAAATAAACATAAAATCAAATTACCTTAAATTAAAGAAAACTGCCATCTCATTATACCGAGCAATAGTCATTTTTTTTTTTTTTTTTATCAAACAAGACATTAGGTTGTAGTAGACAAAAATAACAGTTTTATTGCGTTATGGGTTGAAATAAATCCAACAAGCTAAGTTAGTTGAATCAACCTTCATATGATGAGAATATAATTGTGTTGATTCAATAATAATGTCTGAGAGCACAGGGAGCGAATATATAGAGATGCTAGATATAATCCTAGTCTAACACGAATAATATAGTCCTAGTCTAATGTGGATAATATAGTCCTAGTCTTAATATGGATAATAGAGTCCTAATACTCCCCCTCAAGCACAAGGTTGGTCAGCCAAAACATTGAGCTTGCAACGGAGTAAATTAAAACGTACAGACGAAATGGACTTAGTAAAAATATCCGCTATCTGATCTTTGGTAGAAATAAAATTGACTTGTAATTCCTTCTTCGCGACTTTATCACGAAAAAAGTGGTAGTCGATCTCAATGTGCTTGGTGCGAGCATGAAACACCGTATTAGCACACAGATAAGTAGCTCCCAGATTGTCACACCAGAGTTTGGGCAAAGAAGGTGGCGCAAACCCGATTTCCTTCATCAGAGAGACGAGCCAAGTAACCTCTGCAGAGACATCAGCCAGTCCTTTGTATTCAGCCTCAGTTGATGAACGAGCCA